TAGTGACATGTCAGCTGAAATTCATCTGATAGCTGTTTTATCAGAAATTGAGCCATTTCATGGTTTAGAAAATTATGCGTTCATCCTTCAAAATTAAATATTTTGTTGTAACTTTATGACTTGTTTATCAGTTTTGCATTTGTAGTCCAGCATTCTGTATTTTTGGTATCTATATTTTATTCTTTTAAATTATTTTGTGATACTTTTTGGAGAAATATCGCGCAGATATGCAATCCAACAGATTATTTTAAGAGGCAAATGGTTGAAAGACATTGGATGTAGTGTCCTCTGAAATTGTTGTATTTTATGATGTAGCAATTAGTACCATTTTTTAAGGACTAAAATTTAAACCTTCTAAGCGGTGAACTTTAACGTAACTTCTTTACAAAAAATTAATTAGATATTTAAAAACAAACACTTGTCTGTCAACTGTAGAATAAATATCGAAAATTGAGTCACACAGACGAGTGTTGATTTTTTACTTATTACTAATACTTGGTTATATGAATAAACGTTTAGCTGCACTTAACAGCATAGAGCAATGAGCGAGTTTGTGGAATGAAATATCCTTCTGAGATAGAAAGAAGCCTATATACTGATTATGCTTCTTGAAGGTGTTTTAGTTGTTCATTGTATCTTTTGCTTGGGTAAGGTTGTGCTCGTTATTTGATCAAGTTATCAACAAAATTAAATAATTGTAGATGCCCGTGATTATGTTAGTTCACTTAACTAAAAGTTATTGTTGAGCTAATTTTGCCTGCTTTTGGTTGTTAGTGTATTTCGGTCAAAAATGTAGCTTTCTTTCACGAATTTGTCTATATAGTCACCAATTACTCTCAGAACCCATCATCTTACAAAATATTTATGTAATCTTTGGTAGGAGTATTAGCTGTGATTCAATGATGTTTTCTTCATTTGTTTTTCAGGTACTGGTCTACGCTTGCAAGGGACGTACCTTTTGCTGGTCTTATGGTATGCAAAGCTGTAGTCTGTCATGGTATTGTAGTCCGTCGTGTTGTTTTGATTGAAAATGCTGCTTTGTTCATTTATTATTTATCAGGCACGCCCAAACAAAGGAATCATTAACTTATTGTGACTAAAAAAACATACTGCCAAAAAGTGCTAATTATGGTATAGTTTCATGTAGGCTTTGGATACCTTATTTGCTTAACTTGTTATTTTTTGGGGGCTTTTACATACCAGCATATCTTATCTGAGAATTCTGAGGTATTTACATATCTCACACTTAAGCTTTCATATTTACACAGATAGCACTCAAATCTTTAATATCATTAAAAATTGGTCTATTACACCACTTTTTAAAAGTGAAGTACACAATTTTATGCTTAAGTTCAAGGCACCAAAGTGCTATGTATGTAAATATGAATGTTTAGCTGCAAGTTATGAAAATACATAAGAATTGTGTGCAACATCTGTAAATTTCCATTTTTTTTTCTTCTCTTCTGGAATCCTTTCATTACATAACATTATTCAGTAAATCCTTGTCAATCCCGTCGAATCTTTTACAATGATATTACCAATTTAATGTATTTAACCATCTTGGTTACATTTCTCATACCCTTTTCTTTTATCTCTTTTTATAATTTTGTTGTGAAAGTTCCTGCCAACAAATTATAGCCTTTTACTTTTAAGAATTTTTATTAGGCATTAATTTGAATTTTGTGCTATGTGATTAAGTTTGTCTCTTTATGTGCCATATACATGTTCTTATAGAAATGGTCTTTACCATATGTAGGTTACCTTCTACGAAGCATTTAAGAATTTGGCTGAACATGGTAAACAGCGATTGCTACCTGGAAGCAATGTACATATCAACAGTTCTGTTGAAGGACTGCTTTTAGGAGGATTGGCTGGTGGTAAGGTTTAGCTTTATGTTTGGGTGAGATCAGTATGAGTGGTCCTTTTTCGTTTCTTCTATGCAAGAAATAATACTTTTTTGTATATCAGGTGCATTCTGTAGTTTGAGCATGCTCTCATATCATTATTGTTCTTTTATTATCCTTCATTAGCATCTTTCCAACAGTTCGTGCTAGCTCAATCAGTCGTTCTTTGGGATTTATTTTCGTTCAGTTAATGATTTGTAGCTGTTAATCAGGATTCATTCCAGTTTTCAAGGACAGCTATAGACAATCTGCCTATTTAACTGAGGATTTGGCGATAGCATTTTCTCCCAGGAGCGTGTGCCATTAAATTCTGATTATAATTATCCTTGAATTATTTTAAGAAGATGGAAGGGGCATCAACAACTGCCAACGTATTCCCCAATGCTCGCACAAACTTGAAAACCCTCAGAACCTCCAATTATCTATGGATTTGGTGTTAAATTTTTCCTTCTACACACTCATTTTCATCATCTTTTGTAACCTAACCCTAATATTTTGAATTTTATTTTAAATATTTTTGCACTTTTTTTTTCATGTCGTTATTTGATGTTATAGGGTTTATGGAGTTCTTTAATTTCTAGTGTAGTGAAATTATATATTTAAGAGATGATTTCATATCCTTATACTTGAGGATATTCACAACCATATTAGTTTCCCTTTTTTATTCTCCCTTCTTTTTATATAGGCTTCTATATTCTATCAATAATATGATGATGAGATTTTTCTCAAACAGGCTATTAGAGCAAGATTAACATTTTCCTTATTGTTCCAAATCCTATTTTTCTGCATTATTTCCTTCTCTGCTTATGTGCGTGTATGGCAGCCATTTGCATCCCCACTCATTCACTTATCTATTTCTGTTCTTTGCAGATCCGCCTCCACATTCCTTTTCGCCCATCTGCTTATCACCGCACGTGTCAAACACTTCTTGGTGCACATGCATATGCATTGGTAAACCCCTTTGTTAGCCATGCATGTGCCCGTATGCACACTTGCAGCCCCCTCACTCATGTGCCTGCTCATTCTGTGCCCCTATGCACAATTTTGCAATGCCTGTATCTCTTCACTTGCGTTGTGTGTTTATTCCCTCTCATTCTCTCTTATAGTGTTGTGCTCGCTAATGACATGATAATTGCTTACCTACCACTAAATTTATAATCTAAATTTTCCCTGAAATTCTTCTACCCCTCATTTCCAAATGGCTTCATCACCCAGAATTCAATGCTATCAATTACCTGTTATATTTAAGGGCGTCGCACTTTCTTATTGGTTCTGAAGGCTAATTTCATTATCTTTATGCATCTTCTCGAGATGGCAATGATACTGTTAAATTCTCAAAGGGCTCGGTTATACTAATTTTACTTAGTTAATACTCTTGAATTGTCCATTCCTTGGTTGTTAATCTAGGATTCTCTTTGGTCTACACATTTTTAGGAAATTGATGTCTCTTGCGTCTATACTCCATCTCACGCTCCTGATCAATCACCCTTTATCTTTGACTTTAATGGTGTTCATGGAAATTGGTGCATGTGGTGGTTGTTCTAGCGGCCAGTTCAATTGTGTTTGAAACATTTTTCTTCCTTGACCTTATCTCATTTACACTAATTATCCTTATCAATGTTGCTGGGAGTAGTTCAACAATTTCCCCATTGTTTAACATGCATCTATTATTGGTTGAACCCAGCCTACTCCTTCTGTTGTCTTTTATTTTGATTCACCTATCCTCTCATGATGACTATGATTGATCACTTCAGCATCTTAGCCATCTTTCTCGATGTCTTATGCCGTCTATTATTATTGATTTGCTACAATTGCCTTAAATTGCATGTCTTGGG